CAATCTACAAATGCCACTTGCTGCATATCTGGGAAATACATCAGTTTCTTTCATATTGCGATCGGTGTTTCTCTGTCCCTGTGTTACAATTTACTGCGCAGAAAATGTGGATATACTTGTATTACAACTGATTCCAAACATCAACATGATAATAGATACAAACATAAACATGATTATACATACAAACATGTCACGTGATTATAGATACAAACATTAACATGATTATAGATACAAACATAAACATGATTATACATACAAACATGTCACGTGATTATAGATACAAACATTAACGTGATTATAGATACAAACATAAACATGATTATACATACAAACATAAACAAGATTATACATACAAACATAAACATGATTATACATACAAACATAAACATGAATATACATACAAACATGTCACGTGATTATAGATACAAACATGTCACGTGATTATAGATACAAACATTAACATGATTATACATACAAACATAAACATGATTATACATACAAACATAAACATGATTATACATACAAACATGTCACGTGATTATAGATACAAACATTAACATGATTATAGATACAAACATTAACATGATTATACATACAAACATAAACATGATTATAAATACAAACATGTCACGTGATTATAGATACAAACATTAACATGATTATAGATACAAACATTAACAGGATTATAGATACAAACATTAACATGATTATAGATACAAACATGTCGCGCGATTATAGATACAAACATGTCAAATGACATCGGTCTACCTGTGTAGTGATAGATAGAGATAGCACCTCATTCTTACATGTCATATGACATCGGTATACCTGTGTAGTGATAGATAGAGATAGCACCTCATTCTTACATGTCACATGACATCGGTATACCTGTGTATTGATAGGTAGAGATAGCACCTCATTCTTACATGTCACATGACATCGGTATACCTGTGTAGTGACAGATAGCACCTCTTCCTGATATCGCCGTTCTGATGAGCTGAGGTCAAACTTTAGCGACCTATGAAAATACTTTGCCTGGTTTAGAAATATTTTGCAAAGTGATGTTATAACATATTCGAGAGTTGCCAAACGGCGTTAGTCGTCAACACCAACAAACAGGATGATCGGTTGGCGCAGTTGTTAAGCACTCACCTTTCGCATAGAGGTCCGAGTTCGATTCCCCTGCGGAAGGTTTGGAGGTAGTTTTTCTATGGATACTCCATTTTCCTCCCATCATGAGAACCTCGCGCTTTCTTTTCGGACAAGATTTATTAATATCATTAGCTCTTTGGTTGTTTTGCAGGTATTTAACATGTCTAACATTTGGACAGGGCTCCGTCAGATCTGATGTAAGCCTGTTTTAATTAGATTTCATTGGGGCAGTTTCAAGCTGATAAATCTTATGGCCTGTGTTTACATCCATGTACAAACAGCTGTGAACCAAATTGTAACCGAAACAAATTACATTAACCTCTTAATGCTGCAAATGTTGGTTTTTCAACTCCGTAAAAAATTGATATATAAAATACCGCCGTAGAAATAAAGAAGAAGTATTAATTATGCTTGGAAGACTACTGAACACTGAACCTACTGAGAAAGTGTTCTATAAATCACTGGAGGAAATCGGTACCGCGATATTTCTGTCACATCAACACTATCATGTGACAGTAAATTTACTCCCCGTGTTACTATCCTTGGCTGTTTGATGGCTACCGTTAGGACACATGTGTAGCATTCTGTTATGTATAAGTCTGATTTATTTACACAAGGCCTCTGTCGGAAAGGAAAAACCCCGACAAAGTTCTCAGACAAATAATTCGAATCATTTCTGCAGAGTCATGGTTGGCTGATGGCCGTACAGCTGTTTATCTGACGTGTTGTGGATGAAAAATCCCAGAGGCTCTACTGAACTGGTTGTGTGACGTCACGTGACATCTAGAGTGTCCATATTTGGAGATTCTTTAAGAAAACCAAAAAACACTGAATCATTTGCAAACTGATGATTTTACTTTTTTTGTGTGAATTACATCTGTCCGCAGTCCGCAGTAGGAGTGAATTTTATTTGTGAATTACATCTGTCCGCAGTAGGAGTGAATTTTATTTGTGAATTACATCTGTCCCCAGTCGGAGTGACCTTAATCTTAGATTGTTAAAATATCAGAATGATATAGATCTAGGATTGTTAGCAATGTATACGATGATTTTTTATTGTTAAACTGATTGTTTATCCAGAAAAAGGAATATATTTCATTTTGACTCGTGTTTCCGACAATCGAGTTATTTCAAACTATGAACCAAACTAAGGATAATACATTAAGTATTTATAATGATAAATGTGTTACATATATCGTATTGCTTACAAGCATATTATAGATCATTATGCAACAACATAACGTTAGGATTTCTGACATAATCATACCACGCATCTCTTCCTAGATGTTAAATGAGACCGCCTAAGCAGTTATTGTAAGGTAGCTTACATACGGGTCACCTAAAGGGTCGGTCTGCACGAGCGAACATTCAGCGTTGATTGGTTAGGTGTAGAACGTGCCAAATTGAACTTATCTTATCTCTGCCAGCAGACGATGACAAACGTTGTCCTGTCATTTTACATGGTATGGAATCAATTAGTAGAGTCCTGTATAACTGAACCTTGAGAAACACTAACAAGAGTCCGGGTATACATATTACTACCTAAACACTGCCAATAGTTAAATTACACATCTTAAAAAAACCCAATTGTTTTTAGATGTTACTAGTTTGATATTAGGCTGGCGAAGTAAGTGACGTCAGAACATTGAACACCGATTTGATGACGTCTTACCATCACGTGGTCTATAAATGCATTTATAATTAATTGTTATCTATCTTAGTTTGTCTTTTATTCATTTAATACACAAAAATACAGTTCAATAAGACAAGTGGAAAATATATTTCCGTCTGCAATTCTCTCAAGACAGAACGGGAGATAAACTGGCTTACAAAAGCAAAGCATCAATTTATCCCTCACCACAAACAGACTCGTATACGCTTTGTGTCTGTCGTATAATAATCCGTTCCCGATAATATGTAGAAACCAGACACAGGTACACCAGTGGAAAACTCACGTGGTCGACCACGTGATTATATACCCATGCCTTTTCGATCGACCGTATTTATACGATAGGATGTTTTGCAGACTGTATTGAAAACTTAATCTTCTCCGTTTGTTTCTGCCGCTTGCGCCCTCAACTCATCAATTCATCAAAACGCTTGTAATGGATGGACTTAAATCTTATAAGCGTTTGACAAACTTCAAATGTTCATTAATATATACCAGTAATAAGCTGTCGTATTATAGGTATCTGAAGTCGGTAAAAATATAACGATATGATTAATTAAAATGTAAAACCTAACAATGGTAATTAGAAAACTTCAGACTCAGCGGTCGTGTAAAAAAAAAGACTGGAACGCTATCTCTTTACATTTCTGAAAACGAATTTGGACGAAACTCATTCTGATAGATTTATGGTTCCCACATGCAAATTATAAAACAAAAACAACTTGGCAGTGTGTACCGATAACTGTTACAGTCATGCACGAAAACTGCAAGACAGAAATGCACAGATGTATTTATACACATCAACACGTATTTATACAAATGTACAAGTAGATATTTAACCGCGTTATGTTAGATACTTCTAGACTCTAAAACAACACACTATATGATAGATATATGTAGCGAGAAGGTCTGTACTCAAACCAAGTAGGTCATGGCTATATATTATTGATGCTGGAAACAGCTTTTGGTGTAATATTCCCACTATAGAATAGAAAAGACCATACATTGATTAGAGAGTGTCAAACTGTACTATCATATAGTGAGTTACGGGGTCACTAAACCTGCTGACTCTAAACATATACGTCTGATACTTCTGAGGAACAATATTCATTTGTTCCTTACAGGACACTAGCTAAGCAAAGTTCCATCTGAAAGTGGACATGTTGTGGCAAACATGAAGAAAAACATGAGAACAAGCGGCCAACTGGAGCATTTATTGGACATTTGTGAAGTGTTATTCCGAATAAAGTTTAATTATTTAGTTAAAAGTCATTGACTTTTGCTTCAAGCCACTTCTAACCGTTACATTTCCCGAAGTTACGCATTTCAATTGTAAAAACAATTAATTGTAATTTCGGGGGAAATTTGTTCGATGTCAACAAAACTTATTATTTACTTTATTCCTCGTAAGTCATCCGAAGAATTAACTTCATGTTTGCAGTGTTGTTGTTAATCTAGATTAACTGTATATTACATTGTATTCACAACAACATGCACGTGCTTTACATTCTACATTATAAGCTAAATACAGACTTTCAGGTTGACGTTAGTAATCCCTGTGAGATATAACACACGGATTTACTGAACCGTATCCTTATAAAACACGGCATCAGAGGTGTTTCTGCATCATTAACGCTAACCTGATCACGGAAACTCGAGTCGAGGGTCACGGAAATATAACACCAGTTCATATATAATTATAGACGTGTCGACACAAAGCTCATTGTAGGGAGAACGTTAATATTTTTTAAGAGAAAGTAAAACGGATGGTGGGCCCATCATTTTTTGTAGCACACTTGTATACGTAGTCGGAAAGACAGATTTAATCACACAGCACTTAGGTCAACGATATAGGTTCAATCTTTGTATTACAATAACACATGAGTGAGTAGATATTTAGTTTACTATTTCTAATGAAGTCACCATCATTATTAGTATAGTAGAATATCCTGTGTTTGAATTCCTCATACCAGCTAAGCCGTTTGGGGACGATACCAAAGTATGACGACTCCAATCAAGATCGGTTTTGTAGTGTCATCAAACGCTTAAAACGGTAATCTGGCATCACCTTAGTAAACTTTATCACACTACTAACTGTGTATTTATCATCAGCCATATGATAAGACTGAGGATTGGAATTGTATCATTCTTCATTTTTAAGCACTAGGTAGCAACACCTCTACTTCAGCAATTTTCCAGTGTTCATATATCTGTTCATTGCATCTGATTTCTCTGTGTCTGATTTCTCTGTATCTATATATCTGTTCATTGTATCTGATTTCTCTGTGTCTGATTTCTCTGTATCTGATTTCTCTGTGTCTGATTTCTCTGTGTCTGATTTCTCTGTATCTGATTTCTCTGTGTCTGATTTCTCTGTATCTATATATCTGTTCATTGCATCTGATTTCTCTGTGTCTGATTTCTCTGTATCTATATATCTGTTCATTGCATCTGATTTCTCTGTGGCTGATTTCTCTGTATCTATATATCTGTTCATTGTATCTGATTTCTCTGTATCTGATTTCTCAGTGTCCATATATCTGTTCATTGTATCTGATTTCTCTGTGTCTGATTTCTCTGTGTCTGATTTCTCTGTGTCTGATGTCTCTGTGTCTGATTTCTCTGTGTCTGATTTCTCTGTGTCTGATTTCTCTGTATCTGATTTCTCTGTGTCTGATTTCTCTGTATCTATATATCTGTTCATTGCATCTGATTTCTCTGTGTCTATATATCTGTTCATTGCATCTGATTTCTCTGTGTCTGATTTCTCTGTATCTATATATCTGTTCATTGCATCTGATTTCTCTGTGTCTGATTTCTCAGTGTCCATATATCTGTTCATTGTATCTGATTTCTCTGTGTCTGATTTCTCTGTGTCTGATTTTTCTGTGTCTATATATCTGTTCATTGTATCTGATTTCTCTGTGTCTGATTACTCTGTGTCTGATTTCTCTGTGCCTGATTTCTCTGTGTCTGATTACTCTGTGTCTGATTACTCTGTGTCTGATTTCTCTGTGTCTGATTTCTCTGTGTCTATATATCTGTTCATTGTATCTGATTTCTCTGTGTCTGATTACTCTGTGTCTGATTTCTCTGTGTCTGATTTCTCTGTGTCTGATTTCTCTCTGTATCTGATCTCTCTGTGTCTGATTTCTCTGTGTCTGATTCCTCTGTGTCTGATTTCTCTGTGTCTGATTTCTCTGTGTCTGATTCCTCTGTGTCTGATTTCTCTGTGTCTGATTTCTCTTTATCTATATATCAGCTCATTGTATTTGATTTGTCTTCTGTATTGTTTTGAATATCTTTTTATGAACATACAAAGCAGAATGTTACTTTAATAAATTAAAAAATTAATATTTGTTTTATTGATATACAAAACTTTCGTTTTCCATTGTTATCCGATAGAGCTATAGATGTAAATATATAAGGACAGCTGTGAGGTAGATATTTTGTAGTATATCTATCAGCTGTTTGTCGTTATCGCACCAGAATCTATTTCTTTGGAAGTTTATGTTACCGTACCTAGAGCTGCCTGATGAAAATTCTGATGAATACACATTATGTTAATAAGTGTATGTTTTAAATAGCAATAAATTATACGATACTTTTCACAAACACAGGATAGAAAATAAATAGAAAGCAAAAATATTGAAGGATATCTTATTAAAAGGTTATCATTTAAACAGAACATCAACTATTTCAGGTTATCAGTACAGCATGATCGTCTTAAATCGTTGACAGGTGACTGATATAAAATAGTCGGACTACATATTTCATAAAATGCTGAATAGCAACAAAAGATATTAAAAAGGAAATACCAAAAAGATGTTAACATGTGTAATGTATAATATAGAGGATTTGTATGATGTATAATATTGAGGATTTGTATGATGTGTAATGTATAATATAGAAGATTGGTATGATGTGTAATGTATAATATAGAGGATTTGTATGATGTATAATATAGAGGATTTGTATGATGTGTAATGTATAATATAGATGATTTGTATGATGTGTAATGTATGATATAGAGGATTTGTATGATGTGTAATGTATAATATAGAGGATTTGTATGATGTGTAATAGAGAGGATTTGTATGATGTGTAATGTGTAATATAGAGGATTTGTATGATGTGTAATGTATAATATAGAGGATTTGTATGATGTGTAATGTATAATATAGAGGATTTGTATGATGTGTAATAGAGAGGATTTGTATGATGTGTAATGTATAATAGAGAAGATTTGTATGATGTGTAATAGAGAGGATTTGTATGATGTGTAATGTGTAATATAGAGGATTTGTATGATGTGTAATGTATAATATAGAGGATTTGTATGATGTGTAATGTATAATATAGAGAGGATTTGTATGATGTGTGATGTATAATATAGAGGATTTGTATGATGTGTAATGTATAATATAGAGGATTTGTATGATGTGTAATGTATAATAGAGAGGATTTGTATGATGTGTGATGTATAATATAGAGGATTTGTATGATGTGTAATGTATAATAGAGAGGATTTGTATGATGTGTAATGTATATATAGAAGATTTGTATGATGTGTAATGTATAATATAGAGGATTTGTATGATGTGTAATGTATAATATAGAGAATTTGTATGATGTGTGATGTATAATATAGAGGATTTGTATGATGTGTAATGTATAATATAGAGGATTTGTATGATGTGTAATGTATAATATAGAGGATTTGTATGATGTGTATTAGAGAGGATTTGTATGATGTGTAATGTATAATATAGAGGATTTGTATGATGTGTAATGTATAATATAGAGGATTTGTATGATGTGTGATGTATAATATAGAGGATTTGTATGATGTATAATAGAGAAGATTTGTATGATGTGTAATGTATAATATAGAGGATTTGTATGATGTGTGATGTATAATATAGAGGATTTGTATGATGTGTAATGTATAATATAGAGGATTTGTATGATGTGTAATGTATAATATAGAGGATTTGTATGATGTGTAATGTATAATATATAGAGGATTTGTATGATGTGTGATGTATAATATAGAGCATTTGTATGATGTGTGATGTATAATATAGAGCATTTGTATGATGTGTAATGTATAATATAGAGGATTTGTATGATGTGTAATGTATAATAGAGAAGATTTGTATGATGTATAATAGAGAGGATTTGTATGATGTGTAATGTGTAATATATAGGATTTGTATGATGTGTAATGTATAATATATAGAGGATTTGTATGATGTGTGATGTATAATATAGAGCATTTGTATGATGTGTAATGTATAATATAGAGGATTTGTATGATGTGTAATGTATAATATAGAGGATTTGTATGATGTGTGATGTATAATATAGAGGATTTGTATGATGTATAATATTGAGGATTTGTATGATGTGTAATGTATAATATAGGGGATTTGTATGATGTGTAATGTATAATATAGAGGATTTGTATGATGTGTAATGTATAATATAGAGGATTTGTATGATGTGTGATGTATAATATAGAGGATTTGTATGATGTATAATATTGAGGATTTGCATGATGTGTAATGTATAATATTGAGGATTTGTATGATGTGTGATGTATAATATAGAGGATTTGTATGATGTGTAATGTATAATATAGAGGATTTGTATGATGTGTAATGTATAATAGAGAGGATTTGTATCATGTGTAATGTATAATATACAGGATTTGTATGATGTGTGATGTATAATATAGAGGATTTGTATGATGTGAGGATTTGTATGATGTGTAATGTATAATATAGAGGATTTGTATGATGTGTAATGCATAATATAGAGGATTAGTATGATGTGTAATGTATAATATAGAGGATTTGTATGATGTGTAATGTATAATATAGAGGATTTGTATGATGTGTAATGTATAATATAGAGGATTTGTATGATGTGTAATTTATAATATAGAGGATTTGTATAATGTATAATATAGAGGATTTGTATGATGTATAATATAGAGGATTTGTATGATGTATAATATAGAGGATTTGTATGATGTGTAATGTATAATATAGAGGATTAGTATGATGTGTAATGTATAATATAGAGGATTTGTATGATGTGTAATGTATAATATAGAGGATTTGTATGATGTATAATGTATAATATAGAGGATTTGTATGATGTGTAATTTATAATATAGAGGATTTGTATAATGTATAATGTAGAGGATTTGTATGATGTGTAATGTATAATATAGTGGATTTGTATGATGTGTAATGTATAATATAGAGCATTTGTATGATGTGTAATGTATAATATAGAGGATTTGTATGTTGTGTAATGTGTAATATAGATGATTTGTATGATGTGTAATGTGTAATATAGAGGATTTGTATGATGTGTAATGTGTAATATAGAGCATTTGTATGATGTGTATTGTATTACAGACTTAGACGGACTTAGAAACATGGATCTATTTGTGTTATATATCGTCGTACACGTAACGATTTCTCATCCAGTGACAATTAGGGGAAATCTTGAAATATTGTTAGTTACTGTTTATGTAATTTTGCCTGTTGATTCGGTTGTTGTTTACCTTGTTATCATTATAGAACGTGACATTACTCACCTTGGTTGACCAAGATTGAAATTGCGGGTGTCGTCGCTGAAACAGAGGACGCGAACCCTTGTGCAACATCTGGTTATATTCTCGGTATGCTTATGTCCCTTAATCGAAAGATCGGGGGCATATTGCTTTTGTGTATTTGTGTGTTCGTCTGTTGTCAACTTTAACTTTCTCCATATCTATTGCACCGTAAGTGGTAAGACTTTTCTATTTGTCAAGCGTGTTCCTTCTGACAAGACCTTTCTGGTCGTACACAAAATGTTGACCGTGTGATTTTGATTTTTTTGCATTCACTTTTAGGTAAAGAGTGCATCCATCAATTTATCAAAAAATTACCTTAACGACTTGTTTGATTTTCTTTCTTCCAGATTTGTAAACCTCGGTACGGAATCAGTCTGTGAGGCGCTGCTAAATTCTGTCCACTTTTGTGAACACATGTGTATTACTGTCACACCCGACAATACAGGTCAGCCTACGTCATTGATTATATCTATACCATAAAGCGAGGTACGATTTAAGTGATGAAACGTGTATGGGGTATAATTCGGGTAACATAAGACGTTACTCAGCTCAGGTAACGTAATGATATAGAAAGAATCCTCCATCTTTATTGTAGATATATGTACTTTAATATTGCTCCATGAAACCTAGACAACCCGCATCCAATTTCCCTTACACATAAATCATAACGAACAATTTTCTGCCTTATTGCTATAACTAACAGCCTTTTTAAAAAATAAAAAAAAACACAAATTAGACTGCGTTCTCTATGCTACATAAATACCCTCGCATTGTTAAACAATATTATGCGTGCCAAGGACCTGCCAGACGCATCATGAGCTTCATAAGGCACGATTTAGATTCTATAAAACACGTGCTCTTGCTAATGGAGATAGCCCCGTGTGAATATATTTCTGTATTATATATTTACAATGTTGTAATTTGATAAGAAGTTAAAATACTTCTATAAGACTAGTTTTCTTCAATTCGGACCAATTAATATGTTATTAATTCAGTCTATCATCCGAGGAGCTCTGCTTTCAGAGATTTATTTTTTTATTTTTACATGTCACATTTCAATTTTAATTGGCGCGACAAAAGATCAGCATTTGGCACAAAGTATCTATAGAAGGTCGTCCCAGAAAAACATTAATATCCTATCATATAGTTAAGTTCATTATTCGGTGTAATATCATACCTGGTACAAGAAGATGACTACGAAATATATTCATGAGACGTTCGTCTAAAGCCAAGTATAATTTGAGTGAGGAAAAAATCGTGAAAATGATCGGAATTTC